AGGGGGACGAAGCTGACATAAACAACTATCGTCCTATAACAGTGACATCAGTAGTCTACAGGCTGGCGATGCAGATTATGAAGGAAAGACTGCAGGCGTGGATAGGAGATGAGGGGACGCTGGGGGAACTGCATAATGGGTTTCGGAAACACAGGAGGTTGGAAGACAATCTGTTCTCACTGACGCAGTGCATCGAAATAGCAGAAAAGGAACACAGGCCTCTGTGGCTAGCATTTTTGGATATCAAGAGAGCGTACGATAGCGTGGTTCAACAGGAATTGTGGGGAATACTGGACACACTAGGCGTGGAACATGTAGTCACTAATCTTTTAAAGGGTATCTATAAAGGTAACAAGGTAGTTATAAAGTGAGAAAAACAGGTATCCAAGCCTGCAGAGGTAAAACGGGGGCTTAGGCAGGGGTGCCCCCTGTCACGCTTATTATTCATGATGTACCTACAAGGATTAGAGGCAAAATTAGAGGGAAGTGGACTGAGCTTCAACCTCTCTTTAGTCAAACAAGGAAAACTTATTGATCAGGCACAACCAGCATTAATGTACGCAGATGATATAGTGCTAATGGCGAACAACAAGGAAGATTTGCAGAGATTGATGAACATCTGCGGTAATGAGGGAGATAGGTTAGATTTTAGATTTAGTAAGGAAAAAATCAGCAGTCATGATTTTTAATGACAAAGAAGGTATTGAGTTTAGAATACAGGAGGTCACGCTAGAGATAACAGATAAATACAAATATCTGGGCGTATGGATAAGCAATGGGACAGAGTATCTGAGGCTACACGAAATATACGTGACGACTAAAGGTAACAGGAATGTAGCAGTCATGAAAAATAGGGCACCATGGAATTACAATAGGTATGTTGTGAGAGGAATATGGAAAGGGGTCAAGGTTCCTGGGCTGACGTTCGGCAATGCGGTCTTGTGCATGAGATCAGATGTTCAAGCAAGATTAGAAATTAAGCAACGTGGAATAGGTAGGCTTTCTTTAGGAGCTCACGGGAATACACCAAATCAGGGAGTACGAGGTGATATGGGAAGGACATCATTTGAGGGCAGGGAAGCTAGCAGCAAGATAAAGTTTGAGAAGCGATTGAGAGAAATGGGGGAAGAGCGTTGGGCTAGGAAGGTTTTCACCTATTTGTACAAGAAGAATGTCGATACAAAATGGAGGAAGCGAACCAGGAAGTTGACTGCTAAATACTTAGAAAACAGCAGGTGGCCAAGCCAAAAAGAACTATGGGTTAAGAAGAAAGTGAAGGAAACGGAGACTGACATGTGGAGAATGGGCATGATTAAGAAGTCTGCACCAGAGATCTGTCGAACTTTTAGGCAGGAAATTGCCAAGGAAAGGACCTATGATAATACTCGGGGTAGTTCTCTACTGTTTGAGGCCAGGACGGGGGTACTGCGAACCAAAACATATCGGGCCAAATACGAAGGGGTAGACACAGTATGCGGTGCGTGTGGAGAGGAAGAAGAAACTGCCGAACACTTTATAATGTTCTGTAAAGGGCTTCACCCTATAGTTCAGGATGGTGGCGCAGAGATCTTCAAAGCACTGGGGTTTAGGGACCGGGAGGGCAAAATAAACTTTAAGCAGGTAGACTTAACTAGAAGGAGGTTATCTGATTGGTGGCTAAAGTCAAGGCACGAGTGAAAATTAAACTCTTCACTGCAAAGTATGAATCCTCAAACTCACTTTTTAAGGAAAAAAAATGAATAGGGTTTTTTGGTTCATAAGGTATTACGGCTTGGTGGCGCTCGCCACGGCCCGATCTAAAGGGTACAGCCATATCCATCCATTCATCCATACTCGGCTGCTGATCCGCAGGTCGCGGGTTCGAATCCCGGCTGCGGCGGCTGCATTTCCGAAGGAGGCGGAAATGTCGTAGGCCCGTGTGCTCAGATTTGAGTGCACGTTAAAGAACCCCAGGTGGTCGAAATTTCCGGAGCCCTCCACTATGACGTCTCTCATAATCATATGGTGGTTTTGGGACTTTAAACCCCACAAATCAACCAAATCAATCAATCAATCTAGATCGTTATATAAATGGAGCCACGTGAGGTTTCTACGGTGACAACTGCGAACGGGGGAAGGAACCTTTTGCGAGAGCCAAAGGCGTCGGTGGGGTAAAAGAGGGCGGTGAAAGAGGGCACGTCGTCGCAGAAGAGTGGCACAAGAACACATGATAGAGGAGGGATTATGTGAGTGACACGTGGCTATGGTGACTCGGGGAGATAGCGGCTTGAAAGATCTTTCAGACGTCGGCGCTTCACACAGGGGCAGTTCAGACGTCGTCGACAACTCTAGTTCGGCACGCGCACAGTGAGCGATGGCATGATGAGCGCAGAGGAAGTCCCAGCCTGAGTGGGGAAAACAACGAATTCGACTACATACAAAATATTTTGGATGACCAGTCGAGCTGTGCACGCCGCCGAAGGTTGTATGTGATTCGCAATGGCCGTGCGGAGAGAGACATCGGAAAGTGGCAGTGTAAGCTTCTTCAACTTGCGGCACAGTTCACCACTTAGCACAAACACGGCACCACCAGTTTCAACGAGCGCTTGCACCGGTACACCAGCAATATGCACAGTTATTTCATTAGCAGGTAGAAACGGGGGCTTTGAAAGTTTCGATATATGCGCAGCTCTTGCCTCGGGAACTGCGATGGTCAGTTTTCCGTTTGGGTGGGTGCTGATTGAGGAAGCATAGGAGAAATCGAACGGCACCGTAATGAGGGTGACCGATCCCTGTCGAAACCGCGGCGACTGTTCCGAAGTGGGGGGAACGAGGACGACTGTGGTGGCTCTGGACGATAGCCGAAAGTCGCCTCACCAGCAGTTGGGTTATAATCCCGACGGCGGCAGTAGCGTGCTACGTGACCGGGACGATGGCAAAAACAGCAAATCGGCCAGTTGTCCAGAGTGCGCCAGGGGTTAGTTGATGGTAGCGCGGGGTGGCGAACAGAAAGTGGGTGGGGACGGACAGGAAACTTGGAGCTTAGATGGGACGGGGATGTCTAGCAAGATCCGTGGCCTTTCGTAACGACGGCAGCGATCTTCTGGCGGCCTCAGCGTAAGTGAGAGGGGCGGAGATAGGCGAAGGATGATATGTAGGAGACAGGGCATCAGAAACTTGCTCTTCGATTGTCTTGCGGGGCGTTGGGGTCAGTGTGTGCACACTGGCCGGAACGTGTGGCACAAGAGACACTTGGCGCGCCACTTCTTCTCAGACGAACTGCTGAATTTGCTGCATTAAGGTGCTTTGTTCTGATGAAACAGCGCCAATAGTTTACGCAGATGTAGAGCTCGTGTCGAGGTTTGAACGTCGAGTAGAAATGCGCTCTCTCCGCAGCTCGTCGAAACTCTGAAAGTGTTGAATAGGCTGGGCGACGGTTTGCGGATTTTTTGCAACGAGCATGTGGAAGGCATCGTCCTCGATACCTTTCATGATATGTCGTATTTTGTCAGTGTTAGACATGTGGGAATCGATACGACGGCCGACGTCCAGAATATCCTCTATATACGAGGTAAAGGTCTCGCAAGAGTGCTGTGCGCGGCCGCGCAAGCACTGTTCAACCAAAGACAGCGTGTCGGCCAAAGACGTCTGCAAAGCGCGTCTTGAAGGTTGACCAAGAGGGTATTTCCGCTTTGTGGTTGTTAATCCACAGTTCTGCCACACCCACCAGATAGAAATGAAGGTAAGCAAGCTTGTCAGTGTCATCCCACTTATTGTGGGCGCTTACCGCTTCATACTGGGACAGCCAGTCTTCGGCGTCTCGGTCGTAAGTCGCGTTGAAGATTACTGAATCTCGCTGTCGTGGCATTCCGTAACAGGTGACGGATGGGATTATGACAGGAGGTGGCTGAGTCATGTCGTCAGGCATTGGCGAAGCGGGGGGTTGAGGTAGAGTCCGGGAACGGAGTTCCAGTTTGAGACAACCAGCGCCTCCACCAAATGTAAGAATACTGTTAGACGCCACGCCGGGGTAATGCGACCGTTTGATGGGCCGAACAGCAGCCAGTGGTTTTAGTTTCAGCAGCAGCTGCAGCAGCACGAGCCTCTGCCACAACAAACGTCTTCTCCGTCGTCTCTAGCAAGCCCGTATTTTTGTTACTACAGTATGTTGTTATCGTGCGTCATTTGTGTGTTTCGATCTGCTAGCCGTTCTCGGCATTACGTTCCAAGATATTGCTATCGCATTGATTGCTTCTGTGACTGTGACTTTTCTCGATGTATTTTTCCGCACTAGGCGCGTGAGATGACAGGTGATATTTAAGGGCACGACGAGATGCGTTATCGAAGTATTTACCACCCTAAAACCTTCAGATGCAGCTGTGCGTACGCGTCAGGCGCCGGAAGCGTGCTGTCGGCCGTGACACCAGACTTGCACCGGGGATCAGAATCTAATTGCGTCATCACAGCTGTGCAGAGCGTGCTCTCTCCAAGCCTCTCTATCTATCATAAAAACTCGTTCATTCTTTCCCCACTGTTGGGTGGTATGTAGGTCCTTTGAAATTGGTTGATATCCCCACCTTTCCGTTTTTCCAAGACATACTGAGCTTGCTTCACAATGATTTGTAGTAAGCAGCAACAACGTAGACTTTCTTTCCTCGCGTCTTGGTTTGTATAATAATGTCGAGCTTTGCAGAGAACAGCAGGCTCGTCTAATCTACTGCACCTCCGGCGCTAACAAAATGGCCACAGAGGCGAATGGCCATGACCAGGACTCGTGGGGAAAAGCATGTGATCGCAGGCGGCATTTTATAGCATCTCGCCGCGGCGCTCAGCAAATCAAACCACTCGCTTTCCAAAACATATGTGTCCTTGTATGAGGAATAGCTGAAATCGTGGGAGTAAAGGTGAAACAGTTCCTAGGCTACTTTTATTTGATGTCACTAATGCATTAGCGCGTTTGATATAAAAATGATTTGAACTGTATATTTTGATATATTCGGGTATCAGTGATTGTACGCCGATTTCGAACGATCGAATTTTATTTATGCAATACTTGATCCTGCGTGGTTTTATTTCCTGTAGAGCTGCTGAAATCTCATTGTGCAGTTCTCATAGGATTAGAAACCACACGTTCGAGCACCAATTTCGTGAAAAAGACAGATGAAATCAACAGGAAGGGCAGTCCCGCAGATGCTCTGGGCGCACCGGAAACGGGAACAGTGACAAAGGCAATCCGTGCGGTTTTTAAGTAGTCGTCAACAATGACGATAGAGGACTTGCAGGGCTGGAACACGCCATGTATGCAATCCAGCTGGTCCTGAAACAGCCTGCAAAGACCCAACATTTGTTTGATGAGCGTAAATAAAGTACACATGTTATAAACAAAGAAAGCCTAAAAATACAAAATGCGTAGCACTTGCACTAAAGAACGCTCTGAAAACCACTAATAAAGGCTTTCGCATTTCATGTACTCAAGAAATAGCACTAATAACTAGACATTGAGCACGGTCTATTAGAATTACCGGGACAATCATATAAGGGGACAGAAAAGAAAGATAGCCTTCTTCTGAGCCCCACATGCCAGCAGTGGTCTAAGAAATTTGTCGACGATGGCCTCATTTTTTCCTCAGGTATTTGCTATCGGCGTTAATGTGCATTTCTTGGTATTCGATCAGCGACGTCAATCGTTCGATGCACCAACTACTCGTTAGCACAAGGCGGAGTGTAGAAGCAAACAAAGCCTGCGTAAAATTAGCGCAGTGGGAGGGTAGAATGTGGCGCCACCCAGGAAGGCGCTTGTATTTTTTTCATTAACGACTTCCCCTCATATATCATATAAAAATTGCAGTGAAGACTTCAAGCCTATCTTTGCCGAGCGAATGCAGTGCCATGCTGTGACTCTGGGGGAAGCTCTGGAGAAACTGGGATAGGCGCGGCAAAGGGCACGGCTCATTCAGCCTGCTTTACCATCAGCCGAACCTAACCTAACTCAACCTCATCTCAGACGGGTTGGCAATACCAAGGCACGATATTTACCTGTAGAACAGAAGCGGTTCCAGGGCAAGTCGTAAAAGAAAGAAAGTGCACTAGTGTGGATCGTCACTGTTAAAAAATTGGCCCGAATGCACATGTTACCCTGTAAATGTCATCGAAAGGCGATAGTCTTGCTTCTGGAGAGAGTGAACAAAACGTTTTTTTGATGTTCTGCGAAAAAAAAAATCAGTGAATGGTCTTCTGAAGGCGCTGCGTTAGAGTGCCTCAAGCGTGTAACAGAGGCGAACAAGCACATTTAGGCACGTTTAACACGAGCGCCATCTGACAGTTATCTTCGAAAACGAAGGCATGCGCGACCGTGGAAAATGATGCACGCCAGTCACTAACGTGATAAGATGTACAATGGAAAGCGACGGGCAGGTGCCACCACCGTTCCGTCGTAGCAAAGCGTTGGCAACACCATCTTGCGCATCGCGTTGCACTGTCAGCGCAGCGCGTTAAACGCTACAGTCTTTAAAGTGTTTTGTTTGTATCCTCTTCCACTATAAAGGCAGACATACAAAACATAGACATGTTGTCACGGCGCCTCAGAAATGCGCAATACTTGCTTTTTTTTTGGCAATCGCACAACTATGAACGCTAAACCTTCGGAGCAGTCCAGGCAGCCACTGGGTCGCGCAACAACTAATCGTCTCTTCTGTATCTGCAGCACAACGGTATCTACCGCTACTGGTTCAGCACATCGGAGTTGACCGCAATCTGGGCTTTTCAACGAGTGTGCTGCTTCGCGGACCGGTGGAATCTGCTGGTTCTGAAAACGGAGCAGCTAAAGTATACGCCCTCGATGACCGAATCAACTGCGCCTGCGTCCCTCGCCGTGGTCGACGTCATGGATGGGCTATAAAGCCAGTCCATCGAAAGAAAGCCGGCATTTTGTTCGGAGCAGTCCAGGCAGCCGCTGGGTCGCGCAACAACTAATCGTCTCTTCTGTATCTGGAGCACAACGGTATCTACCGCTACTGGTTCAGCACATCGGAGTTGACCGCAATCTGGGCTTTTCAACGAGTGTGCTGCTTCGCGGACCGGTGGAATCTGCTGGTTCTGAAAACGGAGCAGCTAAAGTATACGCCCTCGATGACCGAATCGACTGCGCCTGCGTCCCTCGCCGTGGTCGACGTCATGGATGGGCTATAAAGCCAGTACATCGAAAGAAAGCCGGCATTTTGTTCGGAGCAGTCCAGGCAGCCGCTGGGTCGCGCAACAACTAATCGTCTCTTCTGTATCTGCAGGTGCGTACAAGCTACGTTTGTTTCACGCCTAAAACCTAAGAATTAGTGTTGCCTGGACTGCTCCGCGAGAGTTTTTTTTTTTTTTTGCTGCCAGAGATATGAGTAGCAAAACTCCCACAACCGTCAAGGAACTTAACGTAGCACTAGCGGACTTGAGTGCTCGACTTGATGCTAAAAATGACCAACTGAAGGAAGATTTAAGGGCAATAATTGAAGTAGAGATACAACCGATAAGACAGTCAATTGAGCATAAGCATGCTGCACTAAAGAAAGAGCTGCCTAAGCTAATTGAAAAAGAGCTCAAACCCCTCAAAGAAGCAATGGAATTCATTATAAGCAATTTGAGGAATTTAAATCGGAAATCGGTGACTTGAAAAATGAAATTGCAATCGTCAGAACGGAAAACAGGGCAATCAAGAATGACTTCAGCAGGCTCACGACTGAGCTAAAGGAAACAAGAAAAGAGCTAACAGAGCTACAACAGTACAGCCGACGTAACAATGTGGAAATTAAAGGTGTCCCCGTGCAAGAAAAACAGAACCTTGTAGCAGTGATCAAGAGCATATCAACCTATTTGAAAGTGGATATAAATGAATCTGATCTCGAGGTTGTACATCGTGTTCCAACCAGGGAAAAGTCACAATCGAACATCATTGCTAAGTTCATCTCCCGCATCCCCAGAGATAAGTTCATGAATGCCACGAAGAAGCAAAGATTGACCACTACAATCATAGGCTTTGAAGGTTCCACCCCGCTCTATATTAATGACCACCTATGTCCAGCTAACAAGGTACTGCTGGGCAAGGCATTAAAGGCGAAGCGCGAAAATAACTGGAAATTCACTTGGGTATCCGGCGGAAAAATTCTCATGAGAAAAGACAGAAAATTCGCGAGTATTGCACATAACATGCGCAGAAGATCTATCGCAAATTTCCTGAGCAATGATGTTTGATTTTTCAAGTATCGACCAAGCTTGGCATGAGTACGAAAACGTGTCTGTTTTTCATTGCAATATTCGATGTGCGCGAAGAAACTTAGACCAATTCTGCGCTCATTTGTCGCGTCATTCATTTGTATACGACGTTATCGCTCTTACTGAAACCTGGTTGAAAGATGGAGAATCTGCGCATGTTCCAGGATACACATTATTATCGCTACCTAGGAAGAGCAGTTCGCGAAGTGGGGGCGTTGCTCTGTTCCTTAAAAAAAGCATCGATTACCAGTGCATGCCTAACCACTCTACTAGCCAACCTGAATGTGAAGCCTTGTTTGTGCATTTGAAATGTGGCGTTATACTCGGAGCTGTTTATCGTCCACCTAGCTCGTCTGTAGCAGCATTCATTTCTACTATGGAAACTGTCTTAGACCCATTGATAGCCTACAACCGCCCACTGGTTATATGTGGTGATTTTAACGTCGATCTACTTAAAGATGAATACCCTGACTATGTATTGATGCTCCAGTCATATAATCTAATGAACGTTATTAATGCCCCTACACGAATAAGTGAGAACTGTTCCTCACTTATTGATCATATTATTTGTGGAACTGATATGAGTGTTTTCGCCGGAGTGTATGACGTTACTATTGCTGATCACTGCCCCACTTTTCTGTTTGTGCCTAATGCTAATCTAGGACCTCCATGCCATCACTCAAAACGAGTTAAGCGGACAAACTACGCTGTAGTGCGCAAATTACTTGAGCGTACGGATTTTGAAGCCTTGTACCACAGTAATGTTCACACTGAATGGGAAAACTTTATTTGCCATATAATGGAGGCAATTAGCCAATCAACCCAAGAATACACAGGCCGAAGACACAAGGAAGCAATATGTCCTTGGGTGACGCGGGACATACTGAATGTTATAAAGAAAAAAGATACATACTTCACTAGATGGAAACAAAACAAAACAAATGAATACTATGAAAAGCAGTTTAAACATTTCAGAAACAAATCAGTCGGGATGTTAAGGAAAGCCAAGAAGCAGTATTACAGTGCTAAAATAGTCCAACAGAGCGGTGACATCAAGCAGGTATGGAAGCTAGTGCGTGAAGTTACGGGAATAGGCGAAAAAAAGCGCATTGCTCCGGATAATCCTACAACAAATACCGCTGATAACTTCAAAAATTTTTTTACCAATGTTGGTAACAACTTTCCTGCTCAATCTCAAGCAGATCCTCTACATTCTTGCCAAAACAAAATATTTGAGGAAGACTTTCAGCTTGCAAGCGTAACCACTGAGGAAATTAGGTCAGAAATCCTAAAACTCCCATGCAATAAAGCCGTTGGTCATGATGGGATTACTACAAAACTACTGAAGGTAAATGTAGACCTTCTTTCGGAGCCTCTTTCCCGCATCATGAATAACTGCCTGCAAAATGGAACTTACCCAATATCCTAAAGATAGCGAGAGTCGTACCTATTTACAAATCCGGGGATCGAGAAAATCCGAGCAGTTACCGTCCCATCTCGGTGCTCAGCATTGTTAACACGCTTTTTGAAAAGGTAATTAGATCCCGTCTCTGTTGATTTCTAAGCTCAAACGACATAATCTGCCCTGAACAACATGGTTTCATCACAAATAGGTCAACGAGCACAGCTGTTTTTACACTAGCACAGTTCGTCAACTGAGTACTTCGTGATAACGAAATTGCCGTCAGCGTTTTCTTGGATATAAAAAAAGCATTCGATACTGTTTCGCATTCCATTTTATTAAAGAAATTAGAATCTTACTATGGCTTCACCGAGAAGACACTTCGGTTATTTTCTAGTTATCTGGCAGATAGAAAACAATGCGTCGTGTTTGACCGTATATCTTCAGTATTTAGAAAAATAACATGTGGAATACCCCAGGGAACCGTGCTAGGTCCTATGTTGTTTTCACTATACATAAATGACCTACCATCTGCTCTTTCACGCAAAACCATAATGTACGCTGATGACACTGCATTGCTTTTTCGAGGTAACTCTCTGTGCACGCTAAAAGAAGAAATCACGGCAGAGTTGGCACAGATTTCCGCATGGTTCGCCCGCAACAAGCTCG